GCGTTTCTCGTTTATATGGCCTAACCTACAATGCCATAGGTATGTTTGGTTCAAACCGTTCGGTTTGTTCCTCTTGGCTGATATGTTATAGACAGGCATGTCCAAGTCAAGGACATATAACCCATTGGTCATGTTGGCATTAGCATAGAAAACATTCTTTCTGTAAACGGAAAGGGACTTGTCTTTAATAGAAATGATGAAACCATTCTTATCAAGAAATCATGAAACAGAAATAATGTTTCTGCTAATTGCAGGAACGTACAAGCAATCGTTTAATTCCAACATTAGACCACTAGGCAAGACTAAACTATAAGTTCCGATTGCCAAAGCTGCAACAGGTGCACCATTGCCGACTCAGAGTTCAATCTCGCCTCGAGCTAACCGTCTACTCTGTTTCAGTCCCTGCATGGTAGTACATATATGAGACCCACATCCAGTATCTAGTACCCATGATGAAGATATAGACATGTTAACTTCTATAACATACACCTCAGAAGAAATGGTTGTACCTTCCTTCTTCTTGGTTGCGAGGTATGTCTTGCAGTTTCTTCTCCAGTGGCCTGCCTTACCACAGTGATGACATTTGCCCTTTGCAACTCCTCCTATGGGTATCTGGGTTGCAGATGAAGTGGACTTCGATTTAGGCTTTCCGACCGTCCTAGCCTTAATCTAAATCCCCTTCTTTGGCTTCCCCTTTCCGCCTTGGACCATAAGGACGGAAGCACCCTTGCCCTTAGTAAGGTTCTCCTCTGCAGCCTGGAGCATTTTAAGAAGCTCCGGAAGGGGTTTGTCAAGATCATGCATCATGTAGTTCATGACAAAACCCTTATACAGCTCAGGGAGCGACTGCAGGATCAGGTCCGTTGCCAGCTCCTTCTGCAAGGAGAACCCAAGTTTCTCCAGATTGGTTATGTAACCAATCATTTTGAGAACGTGCGGACCGACCGGGTTTCCTAAAGAGAGCTTGCAACTAAAGAGAGCCTTACTCACGAGAAAACGTTCATGCCTGGATTGCCCCTGGTATAGCTGCCGCAAGGCCACGATCATCTCGTGGGCCTTCATGTCCTCGTACTGTTTTTGCAGCTCGGTTATCATGGTAGCCAGCATGACACAGCTAACCTGGTTGTCATCCTTAACATGTTTCTCGTAGGCATCTTTGACCGCTTTCGGGGCGTTAGCGGGAGGGGTAGGAGGAATGGGCTTTTCGAGCACATACTCTTTCTCATCCATGCGGAGAACAATGCAGAGATTGCGTTGCCAGTCAACAAAGTTTGTTCCGTTCAATTTATCTTTATCCAGAATGGAACGCAAGGCGAGGCTGTTTGTGTTGTTGTTTGCCATCTACAGAATTTTGCGAAGATAGTTATTATCATGAATTAAGTATCTAATAGGTCTTTATTAAATACTCTCCCACTATTTCTAACAAGTCAACTACCCTCAGGTACGTAACCTATTGACTTGGGGTTTCTATTTGAAGAATACCCTAGCGGGCCAAGATCCATGTTTTATTTAACTATAGTTGTGCTTTGCATCTTGCCCTACAGTTAAATTATTTAGGTAGGAATTCATTCCAATTGCAATCGTTATTACAACTCTTGGTTCGGTGGATTCTTTTAAATAAAATTCTTAATTGGGCCAGATCCATATTTCATTTAACTATAGTTGTGCTTTGCATCTTGCCCTACAGTTAAATTATTTCTGGTAGGAATAAATTCCAATTGTAACAATTTACAACTCTGGTTGGATGATCTGATTTTATTTATTGATCCTACCGCAGTGCCCTAAGTCTCTCATCCTTATGACCAAGACTTAGTTAAGACTAACCCGGGGCGAGTCAGTACCCTAGTTACGGGTTTCGCGCCTAACCAACGTAAACCGGGCGTCTCACTTGGGTGAGTCCGTTACCGATCTAAATTGGGTTTGACGAGTGACGGGGCGTCGGGGTGGCACAGACTTAAAATTATGAGGGATTTATAACGCAGTCTTGCCTATGGCATACACCGCGCGTATGCACTAGCGAAAATCACATACATGCATACATTCAATCATACATCACATGCATAATAAGTAAACGTGAAATGATTGTGGCTCCTAAAGAAAAACAAACGATAGCGCCTTGATCAAGAGATCTCTATCTCCGGCCCATCATGTCTTCCTTAGGATTCTCTATCACGAACGGACTTCGTCTTCTTATCTTCTTATAATTTTCGAGAGAAAAGAATATTTGAGGTAAAGAGGAGAATTACATCCAGAGTATAGAGATGAGGCACGACACGCAGGCCGTATTTAAAATTACAACAAATATAACTAAGCCACAATCATCCACCATGCAATAATACATACAAGCATCACATCATACATATTAAAGCATACACCGGGCGAACCATGCTCGCCCCAGACCTAGTTTATTTTATTTTACGGAATAAACTATCAACAATAAATTAATTAAACTAGCAAGTAATTTAATTAAAAAATCATAAAATACTTTAAATTTCCAGAATGTTAGAAATTAGATTTTCTAAATTCCAGAAAATAAAATATTTTATATTTACCGTGTGTATATATATATATATATATATATATATATATATATATATATATATATATATATATATATATATATATATATATATATATATATATATATATATATATATATATATATATATATATATATATATATATATATATATATATATATATATATATATATATAAATATAAATTCGAAAAAGGGCTTTTATTTCGAATTAAATATATATATGTTTTCTAAATTAGCAAATAATAATTGGAGACTCCCAGTACACTTTATTAATCTGGAAATCCTAAAATTCCAGAATGAATAAAATTTAAAATTTTGAAAACCATTTTTCAAAGCTATAAAACCGAAATTATATTGTGAAAATATATTTCGAAATTCCAAAAATATCAAAATTTATTTTTCCAGTCAAAAATAAGTTTCAGAACCAGAATATGATTTTTCTAGAATTTAAAATTTAATTGTGCAATTTAAAATAATTAAAAATCGGACTAGTGAATAGTACCGATCCAATTACTTAAAAAATACAAAATAAATATTTTTACGTGTTTAAAAATTATGAAACTTTTTATACAATCTTAAAATCTCTGGTCGCAACTTATTATGAATTAAAATTAATTTTGGATCGTCAAAAATAAGTTTTTCCCATTTTCTATTCAATAAACGAATTTAAAAATAGAAAAAAAGGAAATTAATTCCAAAAATCGATTTTAAAATTTCTGAGTTATATTGACATGTCAAATACTTCCCAGAAAATATAAAATCTAATTTTCATAAATATTAAGTATTTATGGCACAAATAACAAGTATTCTACACATAAACTACTTAATAAGAATAATATAAAAATACCCCAAACAGTAATTCCGAAAATTACTGAACAAAATTATATTAGGTCCAGTATCTAAATATGGCCACCTAATTAAATTTTAATGAGATAAATTTTTGTCTCCAAAATTTATTGACTAATCTTCAAAAACAATAACGGTAAAAACTACTAAACTAGTAACTTCGTAAGCCAGCTCCGATACCACTGTTGGGAAACGAGGCTTGGATAACGCAGCGGAAAACAAAAATTTATAGTCCAAAACTCGATTCCACCCAAGAACAACTTACGTAAATTACTAGCTATAGTAAGAAATTTACCTTAACGGTGAAAACGGAGAACGGAGGAACGGTCGGGGATGGTTTTGAGGAGATGAACGTAG